CCGCCACTTCCTGCTCCACGCCCCTCCCCCACGCCCCTCCGCCCGCGCCGCGTGGGGCACGCCGGGTAACGTGGCTGGCTGCGCGCCGACTCCCTCCCGCAGCCGCCGCTGGACGCGCTCCCTCTTTTGTTCCTGCCTGCTATCAAAATGTGCAAACGTGTCCAGCGTGGAAAACTAGAAGCAAGATGGGATGGGATGGGCTGGGTCAGTTTTGACTTCGTGAGTCCGAGACACCTTAATGTCGCAGAGAGATGACGTCACGCTTAGCGAAATTACTAGAAAAGGGGCTCGACCACTGGGCGCCACGGCTGCAGTGCGCCTGCGTTTTCGCCGTCCAGGTTGTTTCCCCACCCCCTGCAGACACCGCCTAGCCTGGCCTCACCCTTTCCACGCCACCGCGCTCATGGTGCTACACTGCGTACTTCGCCCAAGTATTTTATTATTCATTTCCTTAGTGTTTGCCTGTTTGGGAGACTGAAAAGTGCATTACTTTGTTGCATTGTGCCTATGAGTTGGAAGATAAGGTAATGCAGAAAGATCGTCAAAACGAAAGGAAAATGGAGTTATGCCTGTCACCAGGCTGCGCAATCCGTGGAGTCATTGCCCGATTTGGTCAGGCGACACTCAGGCCACCTGTACTGAGAATGGCCTCTGTACCTGCCATGACAAAATGACACAATCGCTTGAGCAACAGGAATTTATTGAGCACTTTTTGGCAAACATTCTAATCCGGGATTCAGGAATTTACATAATAGCTAATATGAGACAGACTATATATCAAATATCATTACGCTTGGGCTGTGATCTGCAAGGTCAGCAGTTTAAAGCCGCTCGTGAGAGAAAGGGCTTTCTTCTCACGAAGAGTTAGCAGTGGTAGAAACTCACAGGGGCACGTCTACCCTGTCCACTAGGGCTACTGTGAGTCAGCATGGACCCAGTGGCAGAGTTAGGGTTTTTTAATATAGTTAACACTTCATCTGCTCAAAATCCATCCTAAGCTTCACAGTGACTGCAAAATAAAACCACCCAGCTTTCTTAACGGAATTATAGGCCTTCCACAATCTTAACACCTAGTCGACCTTTCACTTTTCGCCTTATTCACTTGTATTATCAATTCCAGAAGCATTTGCACATTATACTTTTTTCACCTTGGAACACAGCCCCCCTATATTGTACTCCTGTTTTCCTTCCTTGAATTATCATTTGTCTTCTCTGACCTTACATCCTAATTAGAAACAGTAAAATCTGAAAAAGCTGGGACCTGGGTAAGGCAGAAACCTGTCAGAGAAGAGAAACGCAGACTTTTTTTACTAAATAGCAATTGGAAAGTGGTGGATGTAGTCTGTCGAAAGAAATTTGAGAGACCTGGGAAAACAAAGCAGTCCCACTGTTCCATCTTTCACTAAGTACCAGAGGGCTTCAAAAAGTTCATGGAAAAATATAATTTAAAATAATATTTTCTCATTATTTTAATCCCATTCCTAGAGGTCATCTGATAATTCACTACCTTTAACGTTGTTTCTATTACCTGAATTGAACTCTGTCACCTGCTACAAATCTAGTTCAAGACCTCATTAGCTCTGGCATAGATTAGCAATATCCTCCTACAGATTTCCTCTGCCTCATTCTAAAATTTCCATCCTAAATCTTGCTTTTGGCATCATGTTATTCTAAAACTAAGCCTTGATCATGACACCTACTTAAAAGTTTCACTCAAGTTTAGAGCAAAGTCAGGGTCAGTAGGCCTAAATCAATCAACTAGTTACTAAACTGCAAGCTTGTGCTTTCCTGTTGTAACATACCAATTTCACTACAAGTAGAAATTCTTTCCCCTTAATCTGTTGCCATTGTTTACACACACACACACCACACACACACACACACACACACACACACCACCACCACCACCACCACCACCACCACCACCACCACCACCCCTCTCCGCCCAATCTAGTCTGAGACTAAATCTTTACAGAAGTAGATAGCCTTATTTCTCCCTCAAAGTGACTAGTGGGTTTGAACTTCTGACTTTGCAGTTAGCAGCCCAATGCCTAACTGCAATGCAGAGAACTATTTAATATGGTTCTTCTAGCCATAGCCTGTGTTACCCCCACCAAGAACCTTTGTTTTTGTTGATGGGTCTGGATAAAAAGGAGGGAGAAGATACTCATTGGATTATATGATTCAGCTGTGAGTGATCTCATACATACGAAGGAGAATTCTTACTGATAACAAAAGAGAAAAGCCATGAGTGGAGCATGTTCTTTGGCCCCTAAGATTCGTAAACATTGAAGCTCCTTGATCCAGGATTCAGCTGTGACACCAGAGGAGTGACAGAGGAGCAGTAACCAACAGCAGAAAGAGGTGCCACCTCCTGAGACAAAGCAGTGAACTTTCCAGACCACATAAAAATAAACCTGATTTCTTCAGGTAGGAGCTGGGTTTGTTGACCCACGGAACCAGAACTGTGTATGTTTGGGTACAGAGCAGAGTGCAGCTCCAATGCTCAGGGACATTTATTGGCAGCCATAAAAGAGCCTCATAGCATTGCCTGAATAAGGCAGAGGCCAGGCCATTTGGCTAAAGAGAGTCCTGACTGTAGGCACAGCAAAGAGGAAACTTTCCTGACTGATAACTGTATCGTTAGCATTTCTTAACCTGAATTATACATCTGAATTGTAACCTGTGAACTTCCATAATAAACCCAATAGTGAATATTGTCTTTGAATTCTGTGTGGCCATTGTGATGGAACATTGAACCCAGCCTCAGAAGAGTGTCCTGGGAGGAATGGTTGGTGTCAAATAGGAAAAGGGGGATGAAGGGTGGAGAAATGCCTGCACTCAGCCTTCTGGTTATCAGCCAGGGGGGCCAGAGGACGTCAGTTGTGGCCTCCACCCCGGTTTGTTTGTCTTTACTAGCCCACAGCACCAACTGTGCTTTCCCTTTGTTTTTGTTTTTGTTAAATGCCATCAAGTCAGTTCTGACTCATAGCAACCATATGAAGGACAGAATGGAACACCGCCAGGTCTTGCATCATCCTCACAATTGTTCTTATGTGTGAGCCCATTTGTTGCAGGTACTATGTCAATCCACCTCGTCAAAGGCCTTCTTTCTTGTCCCTCTACCTTACCAACCATGAGGTGCTTTTCCAGGGACTAGTCTCTCCTGATAACTTACCCAAATTACGTGAGACAAAGGCTCCCTATCCTTGCTTCCAAGGAGCATTCTGACTGTACTTCTTCCAAGAAACATTTGTTTGTTCTTTTGGCAGTCCAGGGAGCTTTGAAAATTCTTCTCATTGTTTCACCCCCTCCTTTAATTAATGGAAACATAACCTTCCCTAACTATCCGGCCCTGATAAAGAACTATTCTCTAAATCTTCTATATAGCTTTGTCACTGAACACATTCTCTTTTGTATTATACTTCATTGTGGGTCTATTTCCTGGACTGGTCTCTAAATATTCAAAGGGGCCTTGAGTTCATTTTAATGGTGGTGGAAGTTTGTTATCATTTTTTCATAGAACAACAGTGGTTGTACAACATGAAGAGTATAATCATTGGCACTGAATTATACATGTAGAACTGGTTGAATTGGAGAATACTTTGTTTTGTATATTTTTGCCAAAATTGAAAAAAATCATGAATAACAATGAGTATGACAAAATAATAATAATTTATAAATTATCAAGGTGTCATGAGGGAGAGGGGAGCAGGGAGGGAGGGGGAAAATGAGGAGCTGATACCAAGAGCTCAAGCAGAAAGCTAATGTTTTGAAAATGGTAATGGCAACAAGTGTACAAATGTGCTTGACACATGGATTGATGTATGGATTGTGATAAGAGTGTACGAGCCCCCAATAAAATGATTTTAAAAAATGAGTACAAGGAAGAAGAAACTTCTAAAATTGATTGTGGTAAAGATCATATAACTCTTCTTGATATGCTTGAACTATTGAATTGTATGATATATGGATAAAGGTCCAATAAGACTGTTAAAAAATATGATCCACAGTCCAGGAGCAGTCCTCTAATATCCTTTATTTAATTGATCACATTTTGAAATGACAATATATTTCTCCCTCTCCCACTATTTCTATCCTTTCAACTCCCCTATAAACCCTACCTCCCTTCAAAATGTGCTTCTTTTGGTGTGAAAACCATTTTTGTTCATAACAGCCGTCTCAGGCAGTATTTGTTTTGCTGAGCACAATATCTTCCAAATTTTTCCATATTATGAAGTGTTTGGCAGTTTCATTATTTTTCAGAAATGTGTAATATTCTATGTATGTATGTACCAGAGTTAGTTTATCCATTCCTCCACAAACAGACATTTTGGTTGTTTCCATTCTTTTGCTATTATGGATAGCACTGTGATAAATATGAGTGTGCTATTATCTGTTCATGCTTTATTCTTTATTAGGGGTATATACTGAGTAGAGGGATTACTAGGTCATGTGGTATTTATATTCCCATTTGTTTTTAGGAGCTATGTTTTCCATGGTGGCTTCAAGTTTTGCAGTCCTGTCAACGTTTATGAGTGTACTAGTTGCTCTAACTCCTCCCCAGCATTTTTTTTTTCTGTTTTGTTTTGTTTAAATTTCTTTTTAATTTTGGTGTGAGGTGATATTGATGTTTTATGAATTTCTCTTATAGTCAATAATTACGAGTATTTTTTCATATGATAGTTGCCACCTGTATGTCATCCTGGTGAATTGCCTATTTATGATTCTGCTCATTTTTAATTGGATTATTAATGTTTTTCTTATTGAAGTGTTGCAGCTTTCTGTAGATTTTTGAAATTAGTCTTTTACATATCATTGCCAAATTTTCTACCTAATCTCTGGGTTCTTTTTTTATTCTTTTAATGAAGTATTT